GTTAGATAGCATCACTGAAGCAATGAGCATGAAACTGAGCAAACTCAGGGAGGCAGTGAAGGACAGGAAGGCCTGGCGCAATATGGTTCATGGGGCCACGAAGAGTCATACATGACTTAACGACTGAACAACAACACAGACAAGATTCATGTAGTCCTGTGTTTGTTACCTCTTCAAGAAAAGCTTTATGTTTCAGTGTTTTGCATGCTGATTTTGAAAATAAATATATTTAAAAGTTTGTTTTCAGTATCAATCATATAATTGTTGGTGGATTTCCATTAACTCTGTTCTCAGTTCCCCATCCATCTCTCACCATTATCAAAATTTCCTTTTTCTAGGGGCAAATTTTTCAAAATAATGCTGAGGGAAGAAGGAGCTGGGAAGGTTCTATTCTGAGAATGCAATAAGCCCCAGAATACAAATCCTTTTTCTTGCATGTTATTTTTCGTTAGAAAGTTTAGATGCAAGCCACAATTTATTTTGCCCAATTCTTGAGGATTCTTTTTTTCCTCTTTTATGCCAAAGCTCATATCTTCAAGAAGCACCAGATCTACCCTCTGTAGATTTTTGGAGGAATTATAGGGGAAAAGGATTGAAAGGTTCATCAATATAATGATGAATGCCATCCAATAGGGAGATGCAAATCTGCAGGTCCAGGAACAGAATGTTCTAGCATTATCCATGTTCTTTTCCTCCAAATCACACAAGTCCAGTATTCTAGGGTTGGTCCAGTGGTTTTCTGTCATTTAATCCTCTGAATTCTTTCAGGCATTGAAAATTGTAGCTCTGAAATACTTTGGAAATAATTTGGAAAAGGTGCATTGGAGGGAATAGAAATGCAAACATAATGCCTTTGCAACTCGTAAAAGCATCCATGCTATGGGAAAAGACACAACTGGAATTCCAAAGAAGTGCTACCTTTGTGCCCCTATTTGTTCTGAAGCACCTTTTTGGAATTGAATCCAAAACATTGCAGTCTTCTTAGAGACATGCTTGAATGACTAGATATTGTGGAATTGCTATATAATGAAAGCATTCACTTTTTTTTACCCTCCAGTTTTTTACTTTATTTTTGTCCAGGCTCTAGACTTCAGTGATGATGAAAAAGAAAGAGCAGCAAAATTACAGAAGAAATCTCAAAATGTAAGAAGAAAGGAGCTCAGATCACAACAAAATAATAGCAGTAAGTAGCTACTGTCCTGGAAAAGTAATACTGAATATATAAAAAAAAAAAACAAGACTATTTTAGTTATATGTATTATTTATTTAATGTTGATATAATCCATTGTACACTTTTGACTTTGTATATAAGAATCTTTCAAATTTAATATTTGTATATAAATAAGAATTAGCCTTTATAAAAGATGGGATAACAGATCTCTTCAGCTTTTCATGCATGGAGTAAATAGAAACAGTGGGAGGCAAAAGGATGTTGGTTAACAATTCTTGGCATTCAGCAAGCAAAATAATGCTATCTTTGTATGTCAAAATAGCAGATCAATAATTTTACTTATTTAATGCTGAATATTTGGAAAGTGGGGCATGGATGATCAATCATGTTGAGTGTACAAATGCATTTGTTATTGTTGGTCTGCAGGTTTTGTGTTTATGAGAGAATATTTTGGTTGGTGAAATGATATTAATCTTGGACTACTCACAGTTGCCTCTTCCAAGGTTCATCCTTAGTTTATCTGAATCTCCAACAGATCTTAAATTTTCCTTTAAACACAACAGTTCATCTTTTGCTGTTCAGTCCATAATGCAAAGAATCAAGTGCTACCTCAGTATTTTCCATTAGGCAACCTAATTGTACTACATTATTTTAGAGATGCAAGCTCTTTTAAATAAAAATACAGAAAACAATACTTAAATTATTAGTATACAATTCAGTTCATTAACTATGATTACTAATATAGTATGCCAAGAGTTATGGAACTCCAGTTTAGCTCATTAATTGTTAGTGTAGACTTGGGAAAATGTAGCATTATGTATACCCTGTATTTACAATGTTCATAAAATATTAAATGATGGTAATTTCTGGGTTTTGTTTGTTTCTATAGATGATAATGGAGGAAATTATCAGTCCAGACGACAATATCCTTCAGAATATGCAGGCGGATATTGTAGGGGACAGCCTACACCCAGGTTTTCGTGGGGCAGATCTCCTCATGTATCTCCTTTTCCACGTTTCTACAGACAGCACAACGTAACTCCACAGTATTATTCCTCTGACTATGCAGAGCTGCAAAAACCAACTACTTTTTGTCAGCAACAGAGACTGGAGAGTATGAGAAGACATCAGTATTCCTTCCCTCCCCCATCTTTTGAAACTGTTGGTAGTAATACAAATTTTCCACCTCCACCCCCATCAATACCTTGGGGATGGCCTCCTGGGTGTACTCAGAACACCTATGAGCCTTTGTTGTCTATGTTGTCTTTACCTCCACCACCCCCACCTCCTCTGCCACCTCCATCCACAGCTCCTAACACTGGCAGTTCTCCTTAAGACAGAATATATTTTCAGACAACCTATAAAATATCAAACGTTCTACCTGAATAGTAAATGTGCTAATATTTTCTTATTTGTTTTGAGGGAGGCACATTATTTTTGATTATGTACAAAAATTAAAATGAGTATTTTGTATGAAATAAAAGTATGGGGAGAGGATGTTTAATATCTGCTTAAGTTTGTTATACAAATCTGACAGATTTAAATATTACATATTTCTTTTTGCAGTCAACATTGCTCAAAATTGTATTTTTTTACAGATTTCTACATGTCTCTAATCGTATATAAATTAATATGAGTTTTACAAATTCCTGTAAAACAAAATTATTTCTCAATGTAGTATGTTGAAATTCTGAACTATTTGTTGCCTTTTTATAACTGCTGTATATTACAATAGAAAACAATTCAATTCAGAAACAAACCAAACAATAAAGTAAAATCTCCATAACCCAAACTTAAGCAGTATCAATTTCTATAACATTTGGTGGGCACATGTTTAACTGTGCTTAGAGAACATTAAACTAAATACAGTGGGGCAAAAAAGTATTTAGTCAGCCACCAATTGTGCAAGTTCTCCCACTTAAAAAGATGAGAGAGGC